GTGTTTGTAATATCATTTGCTATCATTACTTCACAGATAGAAAATTGAGGCCAGTAGAGTTTAAGGAAATTTCTTTATGCTGCAGAACTTGTAAATAGTCGAACTAGAATTTAAACTGAGATGGTCTAACTCCAGGAATAATGCTCTTTGCACCAGTGTAATAATGTTGCTACCTTTATCCTGAAGAACTGAGGCATTAAAAATAAAGCTTCCTGGTGCTTTTAAAAAGGCTTGTGTAAGGAGATCAAGAGTTCACCAGATTCTGCCAACATTAATGAAAGAAAGACACAGTAGGTTAGTCTTAGAAAAATTATTTATATTGAAGGAATATGTTTAGATTGCTCTAAGAATTCTGGTAGGAGAGAAAACAAAACAAAAAGAGGATACCTTCAAGATAACAAAAATAGTATAAGCTTTTGAAGTTTTCTCTTCAACTGTAAATGTCAAAAGAAAAACATACAAATAAAGAGGGGAAAATGGTTAAGGGGTGGGAAATGTGTCAAAAAATACCTGACAAATTTTCTTCCATGCATTAATGAAATAGAAATGTAATCTTAGAAAGTATACTACTCATATAACACACATAAAAAATGCTTAAAGATATGTGCCCATCAACAAAAAATGGGGATTTCAAAGGAATAATGCTAATGTTGAATCATGTAAACATAAAACATACTATTAATATTATTATAAAAATGCATGCATATGACAAAAATAACCTAAAAATGAATATACATAATAGAAAAATAATTGAATAATATTTAGGCTTTCAAAATTCAGGTCATATTTACAAATACTAGGAAATTAAATGAGTACTGTGTGTGGGTGCTGAGTTGAGGGTGGGGAAAAAGAATAAATTGCTTATATGGGAGAAATGGTATAATTCAAAATCACTATTGAAATAAAAACCAACATATTTGTAAAGTGTTAGAAAACTGAAGTCAGAATGTCACTACAAATTTTATTCCTATAAATGGATTTATAAATGTAATAAAAATAATCTGAGGATATATATATATATTAATAACATCAATTGACTCAATAAAAATTATAACAGGCATGATCATCTTAAGAGACACCAAAACAATGTAGTTTATATCACTAACATTTTTCTGATTAAACCCCCTAGAAAAACAGGAGTGGAAGAATACATAATGATTAAGACCTATATATTTTAAGTAAACAGAGAACATCATAGTGATAAGATGCTAATGAGACAGAAATAGTTGCTATTGATACATGAATAAGAAGTAAACTCCATTTTCATTACCATTTACCATTGTTTTGGAAGTTCTGGCCAATAATATAAGACAAAAACATAAATAAAGACATAAATGGTAAAATAAGAACAAAATAAAGTTTTTAGTTACAGTGTCTAAGTCTTAAATTAAATATATCAACCTGAACTCTACCAAAATTAATAAATAATTATTTCATAGTAACATATCAAAATGCTCCACAGAATAATGTTATAAATTATTTCTAATAAATAAAGGATATTATAGAAAATCTATTTGATTTTAGAACAAAAAGCATAATATCTCTAGAAATGACCTTCTCAAATAGCATGTAAGACCTATCTGAAAATGCCAATAGTTGTACAAAGAATTGAATAAACAGAGGGAAAATAGGTAGGCAAATTTAATATCATAAATATTTAGATCTTCCATATAGATGTTTACATTAGCCCAGCCAAAATTAAAAGAGTACCTCCATTTTAAAATTGAAGACTAAGTAAAGGTATGTGTTTCTTCTACATCTTAAAGTGCCATTGTAATTATCAGAGAAGTATAAGAAGTACTCCATAACAAGACTGGAAAATTAGGCTGGGTACCCGTACCAACTAGGATTAAAATGATCTGTGAAAGACATGATACAAACAAAACCATGTGGCAAAAAAGATAGAAGTTTGTTTCCCCTGTAAACATAAATAGAACCGGTGTAGTATGCCAATCAGTCACCCAGGATCCAGGCTTCTAACTTGGTCTCTATCACTCTCACCATGTTGCTACCACCTCATGCTTTGAGAGAACTAGTTGAACTCCAGCAATCCTAGCTTCATACCAGTAAGCAGCAAGGTGAAAGAGATGAAGAGAATGGCCCCTCCATTAAAGAACATATTACTTCTTATCTCTCATTAACCAGAACTTAATCACACTGGAATATTTGACTTCAGATGGCCGAATGTCCCAGTGTATTTAGGGGCTTCAATTACTTAGGAAAAAGAAAGCGCTAGGCAGACATGATGCTCATTTATCTCAACTTAAAACTGAGCTTCTTGCACTCCTCCAGGACCTGACTCTAAAATTTCCATGGTATCTGGACAATAATTTCTAGAACTTGGAGTATATTCTTATGTCCTTGGGCAGACTTCTTTTCACCAAGTAGTGATCAGAAATTGAGAATAGAAAATTTAAGTATGATTTACCAAAGTATGCATTTTAGAATCACAAAATCTATAAGAGTACATTGGAGATAGACATATCTGAGAACTTCTCATTACCAGTGTGGTTTTTGGCAAGCAATTAGCTTCTCTGACAATGGATTCCACATTTGAAAATGCTGCTCAGAGAATGAATGGGTTTTGTACATAAAATGCTAAGCACAAATTCGGGATCATAATAGGTATCTGCCCAACAGTAACTGTAGTGTTGCCTTGGTCAAGACTTCTTGGAGTCAGCACAATTAAATAGTTATAAAATTGTGACCATACCCTCCATATTCCCTGCTAGTTAGTTTAATCACTCAAACAGTTATGAGTGGGAATAGTTTTTAGGTTCAGGAACTTACAACATTAGATTTTTAAAAAAATATGTAATGAATAATGAGTAGATAAGTCAAGCTGATGCTTAGTTTATTATGAACACTGCAATAATAAATTATCTCTTAGTAAAATAAATACTTTAAAATAATATGTTGCAGGTTCTCCAAGTTTGTGCATACGTGCAGTACTGATATCCCATTCTGATAGATCTGTCTTAAAGTTTTCACATAAGTAGTTGTACAACTTTTCTTTGTAAATAGTAGGTAAATGCTATAGCAATAGCTTTTACTTCCATCCTCTCATTTGATTCTCAGAGATGAAATATGCAAAATTAGCAGAGTAGAAGTTATACCTATCTTAAAGATAAAACGATAGAGGTTTAGGAGTTGCTGTGACTTATCTGAACTTGTGCAAATCACTGAGCAACATCCTGAAACAGACACTCTGATTCAAACCCACACCCCTTTGCTCTACACCCCACTTCCTCTTTCCATTTAGAAGCAACTAATTTATCATCAGATTTGAAAACGTGGGGATGGGTATCATGTTGCTTTTATCGTTGCCTTCTGAGAACCCAGCAGAGAAAAGACTAATAAAAGAATGTGAAATTAAATAATGATGTGAAATTGTACACTTTTGCAAGGACTATAAATATGCCTAATTTTTGAGCGTTTATATATTAAAACAAGAATCAAGAAAAAAAGAGTTACAAAGAGTTAATAAAATACTAAGATAATCAGCTGTATTATCTAATTCAATTTTTAATTTTATCCCTCAAAATTATAAGTTCATAACACCCAGATGCTAAATACTTGATTAATTCATTAGTGAATAAGTGTTTTAATTAAAATATGATTGAGTTCTAGCTTGGTATTAATACACAGTTAATACTCAAGCAGGAGTGTTTTAAGTTTGGGTGAGAGGTTAGTGAAATATTCTGTATGAAAAGCAAACCAATAAAGAATGCTTAGTCTAAAAAACCCCACAACTGAGTAAGTAATGTTTTACCAGTCAGCAAAAGTGTAATAAATATGATATTCCCCAGGGTAGAATTGTCTTCAGTTCAATGAGTTTAAAGTTCCATTATTACAAAGCACTTTTTAAAGAGTGTTACTGAAATGATGCAGATTTAAGATCTTATATCCAATTTTGGCAAAAAAAAGGCAAGTCAGTTGAGGACAAAAATCTGATAAAATATCACAGTGGTACTTATGGGGAGGTTAGATTCATGGCAACCTCATTCCTCCAGAACAGCTGCAATCAGGGCATCAATGAGCCAGGCCTTTGCTCAGTCATATCTGTCTGAAGAGTCACCCACATCACTCTAGGGACATGGGCTGACCCAAACTAACCAAGTATTGGGGTGTCCAATAAAACCCCACCAAATTAGAGGTACAACAGACTGACAGCAGCAACAGAAATCAAAAGTTCTATGAAGATATAACAATAGTAAATTGTGGCCACTAAGGCCATCACTGATGTTTGTAAGAAAACTTTTGCTAATGAGCTGTGTATTCTGTGTAAGAACGCAAAAGAAGTTGAAAATGGTCACACTTTGCATGCCTTAAGTACTCAATTTTCAAAATAATTATTTAGAATATGCCCTTAGGGCTGCTGAAAAAAATGAGGTGCTGTCTCATTTATGTAGCACATTAAATTTCTGAAGAATGTAAAGATATTAATCAAGTAAAAGTTTTATGTATGCTCCTATAAAATTTATTTACCCCACCTTTTATTTTTTGAGGGGAAATGTTGCATGAAATTAACACCACAATACAATACTCAGTGGGATCTGAAATGCTCTATTATAATGGGAATGCTATTTAGTACAGCCAGTGTGATATAAGGAAAGGAAAGATGTCTTACTCATACATCAGTCTGATCCTGAAAGCTGACATGAAGGGTTGGTATGGGCTCTGTGCTCCTTATTCTTTTTTTTTTTAAATATATTTTATTGATATTTTACAGAGAGGAAGGGAGAGGGATAGAGAGTTAGAAACATCGATGAGAGAGAAACATCGATCAGCTGCCTCCTGCACACTCCCCACAGGGGATGTGCCCACAACCAAGGTACATGCCCTTGGCCGGAATCGAACCCAGGACCCTTCAGTCCACAGGCCGACACTCTATCCACTGAGCCAAACCGGTTAGGGCATGTGCTCCTTATTCTTGCTCTGTTATCTATTTCCCTTTATAGCAACTTCTGTCACCGTTGTTTCTTCACCTCTCTTCTCACCCTGCGTTCTGCCCATCATGCCTTATTCTCTTCTGTTATCCTTGAAACAAGGAAAACTTTCTTAAAACTAGGCACAAAGCCAGAAGCAAAGGTAAAGGATTAATACATTTAATTAAATAAAAACTTAAATTTCTGTTTCCAATATATACGATGGGAGAAATCAACATAAAAAGACTAACAAGCCAAAAGAGAAACAGGAAAATAAATGTGAATGTATCAATTCTTACCCTAGCTCATTTGGCTCAGTGGATAGAGCATTGGCCTGCGGACTTAAGCGTCTAGAGTTTGATTCCAGTCAAAGGCATACACCTGGGTTGAGGAGGTAACCAATCAAAATGTTTCTCTCACATTGCTATTTTTCTCTGTCTTTCCCTCTCTCTTCTACTCTCTCTAAAAATCAATGTATAAATATCCTTGGGTGATGATTAAAAAATTGTCAATTCTTACTCATAATGTAATATTTACAATTTCTATACATTTGATTGGCAAGACTAAAAAATCAGGTTAATCTGAAAAATTGATACCCTGGTTTTAGAGAATCTTGATCCCTTATGCTGTTGATGGGGGAATTGAAAAGATATCCTCTCTTGGAATTTATTTAATTGCAAATATTCATTTTGTACTTACAACCACATATCTTTCTTCCTTTAGGGGTTTATCCTGCAGATACATTTGTACATATATGTAAATTTATAGTGGGTGATGTTTCAATTGAAGCATTAATTTTTTCCTAGCAAAAAACTAAGAACCAACAGATCTGTCATCATGGGAATGTAAATAAAAAGTGGAATATCCATAAAATGAAATATTATGTGGTTTACTAAAAAGAAAGTAGATCTATAGATGCAGATATGAAAAGGTCTCCCTTAACTATTATTAAATGAAAACATTAAAAAACATGTTTTTGTTTTCTGTATATTATGATACTTGACATTTGAAAACATTTCTGGCTGAGGAGAGACTGCCTCTCCAAGGACTAGTTAATTCTTAGAGATAACAGATTCACCTAGCAAAGTGCCTTTGATGTGCAAACTAACCAATCTCTACCTATTTCTCCTCTGTCTGTCTCATGGACCCCAGGAGGCAATATTCCCCAAACTTAATCATCTCAGGACCAAGTACTAGGCAACTTGAGAGCACTCCAATTGCCCTAAATTTACCAAAATTATTCAAAGTAGCCAATACTAAACTGTTTACCCTGCCCAAAACTTGCCTTTCCTGGAGAAATACCAATAAAGGCAGTGGCCTAACCATTCTCCCTCATTTCCTGTCTTCTGCTTCCTGACCAAAACCTGGTGTTCCCCCGGCCTCGTGATTAGCCTTGTCCCTCATTTCTAGGGGATTCTGCTTAACACTGAACTTTCTTTTCAATGGCATTGACCTCTTCATTGCCACTCAGTCAGCTTTATAAATTAAGACCTGGCACAAACCAAACAGAATAATGTGTATAAATATGCTCTCATTTAGATAAAAGAGATATATGTATA